CTCTCTCCTATAAAGGCACCCTAAACAGGTTAGTATATGCATTACAATAAGACACTTAAGACATCTTAATTTAATGTATTGCATTTAAAAACGCGTTATTTGTGCGTTGTAAAATTATGAGAACACGAATGCATTTACAATCTACATTGTTATTTAACGCACCTTGGGTTACCTTAAGTGTAACCTTCAGTTCTATAATCGAGTGAGGCGGTATTTCGATGCCTGGCTCTGCAGGTATGGCGGCGGGATGTGTGGCCGAATTCAAAGCGTGTGTCGCGCAACTGTACACTTCCAATTGCACCGAATTGAATGATAACTCACCTGATTTGGTCCCTCTATTCAAGGCCATCGAGAAGGTATTTGAACATGGGCTTAAGGAATTTCCTTCACTATTTGGTGAATCCAAACAATATTGCTGGGATGTTTTTGAAAAGCTTACAAAGTACAACAAGGAGTTTGACTTTGATATCCCATATTCATTGTCGGCGGCACTTGACAAGGTACTTCTTGAGGCTTACTCAAGTCTAAGTACACTATTTTCAGAAATGCATGCATAAAAATGCTTAGTTGAGCTTGACAAATTGTTCTAGGCAATATAAGTTGTGCGTTTACAGCTTTGTTGAAATCGGTGAAGTTCTCGTTAATATTCAGTTGCAATACCTGGTTTAGCATTTTATTTCGTCCTGGAACATATTCGTATTGGTTCATTTAAGGCCAACGAATGTAAGAGAGTTAGAACGGCTATTGGCAAAGGGCGGTTATTCTTGCGGATTTTAGCAAAAAATGGCAGCCTCGGGGACTTGGTTCTTCTACTTAAGGAAAACAAACCCTTTTTGCTCCAATTTTATGAACGCTCAAAAGCTGTGCTAACAAATGACGTTCAGTGTCAAATATTTTACTCTTTTGTTGCCGACTTCACGCGGATAAAATTTGACCTGAATATAGATGGTGCTGATTTCCTCGACGTTTCTTGGGAAATACCAATGTATATGACAAAGGATTTTGTACCATGTAGGTAAGTTTTACCCATATATTAATAAACTGGTATTATTTTTTGCTTGTGATCGATATATGCCATTTGGACCAGTAGGTTTACACACTGTCCCAAATTTGCACTTAATTTGCCACATAAGTCAACTTTTGAAATGAATTTGAATTTTGTTCTACAAGATACCAATCAGTCCTATCCTATATGCCACTTTTAAAAAGTAAGGATTCATGTTCACAATTCGCATTAGGCACCTCCTTGTGCTTTTATTTGTTTTCAGTTGATCGCCATATCATAGTTTTATAAAAGTGTTTGCCTTAAATTTCAGCCATCTTGGGATTCGAGTTCGTTTCTTGGACTCCTACTATGTAGTTACTGAGCTTGAGAAGGAGTTTTATGAAAACGAAGGAGGATTTTTTGAACCTGGCGATGTAATTACTAGCTTGGCAGGAAATGTTCTTCGGGGCAAGGTTGTTGACCTTCAAAAGATTTTTGCCCGTGAATGTCGAACGTTGCTGCGTTTTGAGTTGGCAAAGGCTAGAACTTCAGACGGAACTTATTTTAAACCGATTTTAAACATCCTGAAAAAACGAGGATACGAAAACATATTGAATTTGGACGAAAGCTCTCATACAAACGGTAAAATATATTTTTACTACCCGTTATGATGGCATGACTTTGGTCTTGGCATAAGGCTAATTTGGATTTCTTGCTTATGTCATTGCAAAACTTGACATCCACATCCTTTGTTGCCTAAGTTTTCAATAAAGGATATGATAGTGCCTTCAAATCCTGAAAAGAAAGGCCAGTAAGTGGATGCAAATTATTGACAACATATTTAACAACCCAAATTGTATGTTGATCATCACCTCTGAATGACAACAGAACTAAACTCTTGCCCATTAACATTTTATAGGGCGTAGTCAAAATTTCTTCTGTTTCTCTGTACGACGTTTCGTGCTAGATTAAGCACATCATCTTTACGCATCTTTACTTACTTCGATAAGCATGATAGTTTGGTTTTTGGAACCACGTTGTAATTTTTTAGGTTTGGCCGACGATGTATTAATATGCGACTTCACTAACTGCCTATAAACATGAGACCCATTTTAGAGTCGTTTACCATATATGATTGGATTAATGGACCTCTAAAGTGAGTATGCTTATGTGGTGCAGTATGTAACCAGTGAGGACTTGGTACGGTTATTCATTAAGTCAGAGCTGCGTTAACAACGACGACTGAAATGCATTCAAAAGGATGACTAGTTCACAAACTTTGGATCCGACATTGAGACCGACTGCAGAGCAAAGTATTATTGGTTCAAGAACTTCAAAACTTTATAATATCCTCTTCGTCTGAACCATTATTAAGTGCTCTTTGGATGATGCAATTTCTGCAAAAACAGTTCTTCAAGGTGTGGTTTTTACAAGCATCAGGAAATCAAATGCACTTATCACATTTTCCATGCTCCTCCTTGTTGTTAAAGCCAAGCTCCCGACATGGCCTGAAACCGAGTCTCTTGACCTTTCGACGTGCTACGCAATTCTGGGGGAAGGTGTGGTCGATGGTGCTGAAGAAGCATCTCCGTCAGCTAGCAAAATCATCCACTCAGTGCGCTACGTTGGAAGCATTGATGTAGGTTCTCGTGGTGACATGAGCCACATCCCTGAGGCCATCGACATCGTGCTTGCTAAAAATCCCTCTCCCTCGCATTATATGCCGGTCCGTGTGCGACTGGGTGAGACTTGTTTTGTGTGCCTCATTTTCACTTATTGGATATTAAGAGAGCGTTACTTGAGGACATCTGTGGTATCATTCAATTACCAGCCTGGCAATGACGAAGCCTGTTGATTTCCAAAGAGCTACACACTTTCTGGGGTGTGACTTGTGCCAAATTTCACATAGGCGATACAGTTTTTTGTGTCTAAAGTAGACTTCTTATGCACCATTCTGTTGGGTTTCATTGATAGGCTACTACAATGCCTTGTATAATTGAATCTTCATCCTTCTACTGGTACTCAATTCAGCGTCGTAGAGGTGTTATCTACTGGGCCTGATTTTGCTTACTGGTTCTCCAAAATTAGTCGGAACTGGAGACCAGATTGGCTTTCATTAGTTATAAAAGTAGGCACCTACGGGACTTTGTGAACTTGAGGATAATAGCATGCGCTCCTTTGACGGTTATCATTGTTGTATATACAGAGGCGTCAACTCAGGTTGCCACAAACACTCTCTTTCCTTGTTTTGATGCTATCGTTGGGCCTATGGCTGCATCGCTTTAAGCCTTGCCTAACTAGTTGCCAAGGCAAAGTGATTTGGCTTCCTTACAGTGATGAAGTTAGAGTTGCAACACATTACATAAGTTTTCTTCAACAAACTGAGTTGCATTTATGTGATTGGAACAGCATTTCAATACAACTTGCTTGTTGGTAAGATGAACCACAGGCGGTTGATTTGATAGCGAGACAAGCTCTTGAAGAGGTATCCAATGCATGCAAACGTGCATGAGCACATGACTGTTAAAACGTGTTACCGACGCATCGAATCAAGGAACAAACATATTTTCAAATAGTAAAGTGTGCACGTTGTGTTTCTTTTTCCAGGTGAACTCGAAGTATCCACATGGCCAGTAATATGGAACGCTAATGAGAATGACATTCCACTTAACCCATTCCTAAAACACGCCTATCCCAGCATCTCAGCTGTGGGACACAGGAAACAAGCTGCGCGCTACTTTGGTTACATCGCCGGCAACAGTTCTTGTGCAGTGGCCACTACTTTCACCGCATACGTCTTCCTCTGTGTCAACAAGGCCGAGGCTTCCAGAATTGTCAGAGGGATCTCTAACGGATTTAAGAGAACTAACTGGGCCATGTGATTTCAGGCATGCCTTTCCTCCTTCATTTTCAAAGCCTTCCTCTCCCTTAATAACTTTGTACAATTTCACTCGTTTGTCCATGTTTAGCAACTATATCCACAACTACGATGGGAATTCATGTACACACCATAATTGGAGGACATTAATTCATTTAGCACAAGCATTCTCTTGACTATTTTTGAAGTCTCCAACCGATGCCTTTTCATGATCTGTTACTAAGGCATTATGCACCGATATTAGCCTTCACATCTCAACACTCGAATTTTAACGCATAGGATGGAACACACGAATCCTTAACCAGCCGATGTTAACTGAATCTGTGGAGGAGTTTGCAGTTTACAATAAAAATGTATGGTTGGAGGTTTTGAGTTCCGCAGAAATGGTACACCATCTGGCTCACGCTCTCAGCTCCTTGATTTCCTTTGACCTCAAGGAAGCGAAGGACCACTGCACTGTTCACTTTGAAATGCTCCACAAAATAACAACAGCATATTGTTAAACATATATCGCTTCTAGAAATATTCTAAACCTTCAATGCCCATAAGGTCGATATTACTGTCGAGAACGTTTCAACTTTCGGAAAATCCTGGCACAACTTTTCCACCTCCACAAGTTGGGGGTCTATTAGGGAGATAAGGCACGATTGAGTACGACTGTGGTGAACCCACATTATGTTTGTCAAAGGTATTGTTGTTTCAAAAAGATGAAAAAGAAGTTTTAAAAGCTTGATAACTATTTCATAACATGAGTCTGATTTATCAAAGTTACGTTTACTAGGAGACGGGAGGCAAGCTTCTCAAGGAGTCTCAAAATAGTCTTACTTTTGATGTCCCACTTGTGTGCGTTTGACTACACGATGAATACAGTCGGCAAGGGTTGCCCTTCCACGCTGTGACGTGGCCTTCTAGCCACGCCACTGTTCTGTTATCGTTGCCCCTAGTCAATGCCTCGGACTGCTATACTGGAGGCGGTGTATATAAACCTGTCCTCAAAAGCCAAACCCAAAGTAAAATAAAATGCAAATTTTGGTGCCACAAACGCTGCATTCTTTAGGAGTCACTCAAACCCCTTGTAGTACAGGGAAATTACCAGCACCCTAGGCAAGACTACACTTAACTAGTTGGGGCCTGCCTATTATGAGGCAGGCTGCACTACTTTGTTTGTGAGGGCGCCTGGTGTCTGGCGGTTACTTTGGGATTCGTCCTCCCCTTGTACGCATGGGCTGACCTTCAGGCTGGTCCAGGGTCAAATCCTCTCTTATGCTCCCAAAATACATGTACCCAGCCCAACTTAATGGCATCTCCTACCTAGTGGAAGTCTTGGGACGCTATGCAGTCGATGGGTTATATTAGCACACATAAATGGTAGAAAAGTGCTAAAGTGAGAATGGGATTGCCGTTTAAAATGGGTATGAAACAGTTCATAGAAGAGGTAATTTTATGCTTAGTCTTTAATTCAACTATTCCGCTTTTAAAGCAATGCCGTTGAGGGGAAGAAATAATAGCAGTTCCTGAAGTGGAGCAATTCGGCGAAGCGTGACACAGGTATGCCTCACATTGCTCAAGATGATGTCATAAGAGACTAAAATGTCCGAGTAGCGTAGTCTTTGCAATTTACCAAAGGCTAAAGAATCAGATGCATTCGCTCATGCAAAAAGCTTCAATAATTAGTACTTACGGTTCGCAAGCAATTCTCATAGCACCTACTGGGATCCGACTGCTGGCCCAGGAGTTGTAATGCTTTGTTTATGTGTCTACCAGACGTTCAGCGGTTACTTTAGAATTTGTCTGGACCTTGTACTCGTAGGCTCGTCTTCGGACCATGCTCAAGTCCAGCGGAAAGCGAACCCGACATTTTTCCAACGACATCTATCCTAGCACGTACCGTTTGTTGCATGTACCTAGGGTATGGAAGAGACGCATTTGCATCGGTGGCGGAGACTCTCTGAATCCCTTACAACGAAAGGGTCGAGACTGACGTCTGCATTTGGCTCCACCTTATTCCCGTGTTCCACAGACAAGCTAGTAACAAGGGAAGCGACACCGCCGAGAATCACCTGGAAAAGTTTCGTGTTGGAATTTCTCCTACAAAATCTGTGTATAGGTGTTGGAAATGACACTGCGGTTCTCCTTACATTATAGGACAGTGGCTCATTCCGTTTTCCCTATAACATATCCATTTTTAGACCCAAGTTCAACCGTCTAGTCCTGGAAACAATTGATGGTCAACGGGTGTAGGAGGCCCCGAATCTGGTTGTCAGACCGAACGTAACTCCAGATGCAGTTGAAGCTGTCGACTGGCGCGGTTGGCTAGTGGGTACTTTCATGCAATACCGAATATGTTGTGATGGCTGCTTTGTTTATGAGACTACCTGACGTTCGGCGACCACTTTAGGATTTGTCTGACCTTCGGGTCACACTCAGGACCATTTACTCTGCTCTCTTCGGAGTACATGTATCCAGCCTCACCTACCGCCTTCTGCCACCCGGTGGGAAGTTCCGAAATACTACAGGCATTATTAACGCAATTGATTTTGGAAGAAGATAGGTACTGCCTAGTGAAATGATACTTGGTTAAACTTCGCGTTTGGCTATGTAATACATCGTTTATTTGACCACGTGTGGGCTGGCCTTCGGGTAAAGTTGGGATTTAACTCCTTTGTTCTCTCTGGAATAAGTGCATTCAGCTCCACTTTATACCTCCCTCTACCCGGTGGGAAGTCTCGGGACGCTACAGTCTGCATTAATGACTGCGCGATTAAATACTGCTATTAGTGACGCTTGCGAGCAGATTTTTAGAAATGCCGTACACATGATGAAACGCTTGCATGCTTTTGTGGAATTGAAACCCTAACCGACTTTCCGCTCGCAAATCTTGGCATTCGCAACAGCTATCAAGTGGACAGCAGGATGCATGCAAATGCTCGCACCCCATGCCCAAAGTTGTGTATCAACCTGTATATAATAATAGCAACAGTGAACCTTTATACTCCCTTTGGTTACCTCAATTGATGCAACATCATACGCAAAACTGCAAGAAATTGGGAACAACTATAAGGTCGTACCCAATCAGTGCGGGGTTTCAAGGTCGACACACTTCAGCCATTGAGTTCAAAATGGAATTTGCGAAATTGGCTAAAAGACTAGATCAGGTGTTCAAACTTCCTCTTGCGGAGTCGTGGGATAATGTCGGTCTTCTTATACACCCGTCCACTTCAACGTCCGTTAGTCGCATATGTCTAACTAATGACTTGACTGAGTCCGTACTCTCCGAAGTGGTGCACACCGGTGCCAACTTTGTAATCGCCTACCATCCCCCAATATTTCGTCCATTGAAGCGACTCACTCAAGGTACATCAAAGGAGCGCATTGTTATTAAGTGTATTGAAAACAAAATTGCTGTCTATTCGCCTCACACCGCCTTGGATGCTGTCTCTGGCGGCCTGAACGATTGGCTACTTAGTCCATTTGGTACGGGTCAATAGATCACTTCCATCTTTAAGATGTACTATGTAAAATTCCGATTAAAGGCAACAATCTGGTGAGCAGACCACCTGTCCTTACGACGAGGCACAACTGCAAGTTTCAGGAATATTGTATTCGGAATAATATTGCTCCCATCAACTGCGATATAGCGTGAGTTATGCGATGCCGGCTAACTGTGTTTAGTTCGTCCGATGGTCGACTAGCTGAGGCAGTTGTGGGTGGAGATGCATCGGAGTTCCATGACGCGGAAATTGGCGGCGCTATCGTGAGTAGTGCTTCTTCTTATTGTTCAACTACTGGGTACCTTTAGAGTTAGTGGGATCTGTTTAGTGAATGCTCACCACTACCTCTTGGCTTTGATTGGATCATGTTGATCCAACGCGGATTGACAGCGATATTGATTAACGTATCTCGACCTGGTTATTCACGCTACGCGTATGAATGAGGATTTAGATCGGTTCATTCTAGGCACTGTGTTTCATACAATCACTGATGACCACGGAAAAAACTTTTGTCCTTTATCGTCCTATGTTAGACATTCTTGCCGGAGGAGGGAACTGGTCGCATAGGCCTTCTTAAGGAAGGCTATACCATCACCGACGTAATCAAATCCTACAAGACATTACTTAATACAAATATTCTTAAAGTTGCCCTTGGCCACGGGAAAACGTTTGGTAAGTCTGCTGCAGATGGCTAATCATCCTTTGACTTGCCGTAAGACTGGAACTTCGCCCTAGACAAATCATCTCCCTCTGACAGTATTGCACAGCTATTTTCCATTGCCTAGATAGTCCGGTGACGGCAATTGCGGTGTGTGCAGGATCTGGAGGCTCACTTTTTTCACAGGAGCCGATGGCACAAGTGGCGGACCTCCTAGTGACGGGTGAGGCCTCTCATCACGAGCAGTTGGAGGCAGTAGCCCGCGGAGCTACCATCATCACTGCGGGTCATTCGGTCTCTGAGCGCAGTTACCTTCCCCAGTGCCTACGACCCTGGCTCGAGCGCGAATTCGCCCCAACCCACGTCCCCATTGATATCGCCACCACCGATGTTGAGCCTGGTGTCTACGTCCTGCCAAGCGACCCTACCCATTCGTTTGTGCATCATAATTAGTCATGTCCCGTGTAGCATTCTTTTTGCCGTTAAGTTGGAGGTGAAGCGCGGTTCGAGGCAGAGCCTCCAGGAAGGCAATTGCTTCCCATTTTCCAATAAGCCTAGATCACGCCGCAAAGTTGTGCATTGAGCTCTACCACCTTTACTTCAAAATAAATCACGAGTGGTCGTGAAATTATCCATTCAGTGGCATCCGCGATGGAGTGACATGTCAATTGAGACTGTACGCCTGAGTGTGTGCAGGGCTGAGTTCAGAGCTGTGCCCAATTGACAACGCCCATAAATCAGACTCTGTTGACCCGTGAAGAAGTAGTCAGATTTGAGGAACGTTTTCGTATGAGGGGCTGTCAAGGAGTTCCGACATTGTGTGGTCAGCCCATCCCAGCCATCACGTCAAGCCCTTTGGACAGCTATCAAAGCATTCTATCACCGTATCACTCACGAAACCTGGCACTCATGGGCTGGTCTGCTGCGTCAGAGCAGTAGATAGCCTAGGGGTGGTCGGGCTGACTGGTCAATTTCGGGGAGTTGCGTGTTACCAAGCCAGCTGCATAGGAGTAACCTCTTCGAAGAGGTCGTAATTGTGCATGCCTCCGACGGGCGGATGGCTCCACCAAGTGCACCTTCCGACTGCTTAGCGGTACTGGATTCAAGAAACCCTACTCACAGCGTTTGTTGCGCTTCTCGTTCTGAGTCTGTGAAATACTCGATATGGAGAGTCTAGCAAGTACAAATTAGTAATACCCGAGTAGAGTTCGGTGTAATCAGCACAAAATCCGCGTTCGAGATTGCGTACTACTCGTGTTAGAAAACCAAACAGCTTAACGACTAGTACACGTGCATCAAAGGGGAATGCCGGTGAAGTATTGTTGCTCCCGCTCCCAGACGGCCTTAAGGGCAGACAGGGCACGCCTGCCATAGCGCCTATTTACAGAGTACCGGTCCACAAAGGACTGAATGATGCCCACCTCGGTACCCGGATAGTTCTTCAAAGTGATTGAGCCGTTGTCAGTATCCTCAAGGGTAACTGGCTGCACGTAGATGGGCCGCGGCTTCTTGCGATTTAAGACGATCTGACGCCATTCTAAGTGCCCAACTGTAGGAGTAGAGGCGTTCACGAAGAAAGAAATCCCCTCCTCAGAATTTCCGGTGCTCTTATAGTACTATAAAAAAGCCGCAACATTGATAAATTGGGGGCTGGGCCAGAGACGGTGAGATAGGGTACGAGGATGCCACAGTTCCGTCTGATCGTAAGGAAATGTTACAAGTGGAACAGTGTTATTCCAAAGCAAACACAAACACAATTAATAGAGTCGGAAAGTGGGGCTAGGAATACGTCTAGCTCCTACTCTACTAATTTACGACTGCTTGCGATAAAAGTTAAAACGGGTCAAACCGTGCAATTGCCATACGCACTTAGCTGCTACTTATTTGGAGGTTGGCAGATACATAGGACTAAGCAATTACAAATAACAAGGCCTTTGCATTTGACTCAACCGTGTTGGGGGTCTTGAAAGGGATGGTTGCCTGCTATGCAGGTTCTGAGCCGTTTTGGTTGGATGACAAATTAGGTGATGGGTGTTTAGAACCTACGAAACAAAATACACACTGGAACTAAGTCTCCTTAAGGATAGCAAATGTGCCATCGTGGAAAGTTACCTGAAGTTTCCGCAAAAAGCTCCCAATAGCTGGTTTAGCAACCGAACCGAGTCGACTCCGATCTAGGTGAATATGAAGATCGGGCTTGCCATCCTCACCTTGCACCGACTCGATCTGCACCACGGGCGGGTTGCACTCGAGAAGAACCTAGATAAGATGTGAAACAAATGGGTGTGTTTACAAACTGGGAAAGGGATGCCTCTCAAACCCTCAGACCACAATCACAACTGCATCTGAGCATTCAAAACTGTAACATCCGCAGTAGACTCATACCAATTTCCCAAAGTAATGCTATTACTAAGTAAGTGAACATTTAGACATCCATATGTGCAGGTCAGCACTACGCAAGAGTTGGAACCCGACTTATTTGCCTTGAGTATGGCGAATCTAGCCTGACAGTGAGCCTGTCGCCAAGCTCCGCAGTCGCCCTCGTTGGTGGCTGGAGTGTAAAACTCCAGACTCGTGAGACCGCTTCGAACCATGGAGAGCCAATTGATAAATACCACATCAGACGGGTCATACTTCCCCTCCTTATCAAAGATGTGAAGAATTTGGGGAACATCACCGAGGTAAACTGCAACACACTCCGCACGGCACTCCTCAAAGGGGGAGGCAATTTGACTGAACTTGGAGTCCCATGTCTCACCCGACTCATACCTACAACACACGATGCGCCAAATTTCGGACGCTTTAAGATGAAGAATTTCCTATTACGTGCCAATTTGATTTAGTGCTTACCAATGAGTGATGTCACCTCCAGTTACAATGTCGCGAACTGCACTGTTAAAGTTGAAAGTGCCGTCGTCATTTCGGCGAAATAGTTTTCCAGAACCATGACCAAGGAGCTCGTGCAAGCCGACTTGTATTTCGAACGACTGTGTGACGTTAGTGAGATAAGTCTCACGATCTTCGTCACGTATGAATGTGACCGTCGGGTCCTAAAACTATGCTGTGAGGAAAAGAACGAACCTGAAAATGAGCCTTGAGAACATTCCCAAGAGAAACGTTCTTAAAACCGATTGCCTGTCGAATGTCATCATAATTGGGAATATTTATGCCGACAGGAAGACCAGACACCCCAAAGGCGATAATATCAAGACTGGTAAAGTCAGGTTCAAGAAATTTGTCCTTTTCATAGGTTGCGGGCCACGGCAGAAGGGGAAGAAAGCTGGGTGCGCTGGAAACCAGGTGACTGAACTTTGCAGAAACGTCCTTGTCAACGACTGCGACAAAAGTCTCGAACTCGCCTCTTACACCATAGGGATCACGATAACTCTCTATAAAGCCGCAATAGGTCTCCACAGTTGGCTGTTTATCAGACACCCATAATTTGGAACCCTCCTTATGAGCTTCGATTGACCCAGTCCGGAAGCAAGTCTGAAACTTCTCCCACATTGACTTTTGTGTTTTATTTAGTGCTGCTGCCTTAACATCGTCAATGGCGTCGACTAGGACCATCATGAGCTCCTGAAGGTCTCCATAGTAGGCTTTAAAAGTCGCATTGCTAGGTAAGGATGGGTCACTAAGTATTGCCTCCTTCTTGATAGATGACGCAAAAGCAATGAGATACTCATGCTTTCCATCAGAATTTGGGCGCAAACTCTTCAATATGCGCGTGTTATAGCCCTCAATTTTCTTAGCATTCAAGTACTTCTGCACTATTTCAGCATCTTCACGAGTGCAGTTTCCGGAGTAATAGGTTGTCAAGCCATCGGGAGGAAAAGCAAGTCGAAGACGACGCGGATGCAAGGAATATACTGCTGCAATGACCTTCTCAAAAATATCCTTCACTTCCGGTAACGAGCTATACGCTTCGCTTGTAGTTACAATTGTTGTGAAAGTTTCCCTTGAAAGACCTGGAACAAATTTGGTGTCTCCAAATGAGAGGTAGTTTCCAAGATTTCCATCCACTGCAGCAAAGTAGGACACAAATGCTGAAACATCGGCGTCACTAATGCCGGCGGATTTAGCTGAGGCGGTGAGTTCAGCAACCGTCTGTTTCTCGAATATCCATTGCCCCAAGAGAAATATTCCAGCAGCCTCGGGGGACAGTTGAATTAAGTCAATCAGAGCACCTATCCATGCAACTTCTTCAAGGCAATGCAGGTAACGCCTCTCCGCTTCCAACAACAGGTCAAAAGACTTGCAATCAAGTGACAGTATATCGCAAGGAACGTGTACGTACCTCTCTCCCATTTATCTAAGATGACTGATTAAGGGCTGAAATGCAGCTCCCGCAAAGCAGGTGGAGGAAGTAAACACTCCGACCAATGTCGACATCAGGACCAATCAAATAATCGAAAGCCTTGCCGTTCACTGCAATGCGGTAAAAACCAAGGGAAGTGATATAAATCAACTTCAGCAGGCCCATTGTCTTCCTGTCCAACTGATAATTGGTATATCGAATTTCGCTTGTTTGGTTGAATGCTGGTGCTAGTTAGGGTTACTTGGTTGCCTGTATTGCTTTTATCGAATGATCTGTATCATGTCATTTCTGTGTCACCTGTCACTTCCGATGCAAAGCGCATATACTGTTGTAATGCATTGTTTATGTGACCACACGAGGTTTGGCGGTCAATTTAGGGTTTGTCTGGCCCTTGTACACGTGGGCTGGCCTTCAGGCCATGTTCAGGCTCCGCTGCTTTGTTCTACTTGGAACACATGCATCCAGCTTCACTTACTGCCTTCTTCCACCCGGTGGGTAGTTTCAGAAGGCTACACGCTGATTTATCGCATTGGAATGGGCGAACGAAATGCCTGATTTTAAAGTCCTTTGCCATGATCTCTACCATTTATAACAAACTTCTGCGTCACGAAAGTAGAGCATGTGCTATGGATGGGGGAGTCGGTCATGTTACATAACAAAGAACTGAGAAATGCCCATAGGACTTTTGCCTCAGTACTGGGTTTAGTAGAAAAGCTGCTAGCAGCGAAGGCAAAATCGTCGTAAACCGTCTGGGAAAGCTTAATCTTAGGGTTTAGTAACTGGGTTGGTGTAGAGACGAAAGAGAAATAAAGTCGCGATGTCTTCTTAAGCACGGCACTCGAATTGATCTCCCGCCTCCTATCTACCGAGCGCATTTACCCACTTCATATGCATTACAACAACATCCAGGCAGAATGCAGCTTTGGTGACAAAGAAGTAGGTGTTGTAGGCATGGTCTAGGGGCCAGTCTATCCGAATTGCAAGTTGTCGGCGCTTAAAAAAATTTTGTATCTTCAACTTACACTTGTTGTTACTTTTGGGGTTTTAATTGCAGTATACTTCGGTTGTTGCCGTATTTGTTGCATAAATGCTTAGCTTTATTTCGGAAAAGCGAAGAATCCATTTTCTGTCGTATTTACAGAGAATTTGCTAATCTTGGCTTTTGTGATGGATGTCTGCAACTTTGGAGTGTCACTCCTGTCTGACTTCTTAGTTCTATTTGTAACTATTTCCCAAATTATGCAACGTTGTACTCTTCCTCATCCTATTAGTTGGCTTATATAAAAAAGACAAGCAGTTCTCGTTCTAGTAAACACTGAATGACCAAATTGGGCAAATTATCGGAATTTGTCGATGCTAATTCGACTGGCTTTATGACTCGTGATTACTGGCGTTCATCAAGCCTCTGATAGGTAGACTAGTATTTGGGCAATGCCAAATCTGCAACCCTTTCTCTTCTGTCTAGCTTTAAGTGTTCAATAAAATTCGATGATTCCTAATACCTAATGTATAGCCTTGCGACGCTCCACACATGGTTTACTGGCTGAATTCTTTCGAGACTTAGTAGCTGTCCGTCCTTTTTTTCTCTATCTACGTTGCCAAACGTGACATCTACTTTGAGGTCTCGATAACTTGTGGTACCTGAGTAATGAACAGATGTCAATTTCCCAAATCAAGTAGTCCTTTCCAGTAGACAAATTAATAATGTTTACTTCCAGGAAAAGTGGTACGTACACGTCCGAGGTTAACCTGTGCTGGACCTCGGCCGGTGTCATGAGGAAGACCGTTGCCAGTCTTTAACTACGGTTGGTGCCCTAATCCCCTTTCTCTAAGGCACTCTTATTGCCTGTGTGATCATGTCACTAGCGAGTGCACATGGATTAATTGCCTTCCACTCAAGATGGGGAACGTGTACACCAACAAGTCTTAACAACACTTTGTGCTGTCTCAGTTCCGCGTTTTCAGTAATAGCGAAAAATTTTTGGTCCCGAGAGCAGCAATCACGATTGGTTTGGACAAAGCCTGATTGATCGATACTCCCACAGCTTCATTAATGAAAATTGCGACCATTCACACCATTTCCATCTACTGCGTAATCAAAAGCGAGGGCTTGGTGCACCACTGACAATATATCACACACCAAAGGGTATTCAAATGTTGGCAAATAGCATTAAATAAATGTACATTTACAAGCATATTTAAGAATGAGTTAAAATCTGACAGATTCGTCTTAATCGCCCTCAATTGCGCTTGAAAGAATGCCACTTCAGTAGAAAATCTGTGTGACAGTTGATGGGGAGCCATGCCATGAGTTCACGCGAGAGAACTATGATAGGAATGTTGATTAGTTCAAAGTACTGGTTACTTACAGTCTGGATTCTTTGCTAAACATTCCTCCAGAGCACGCTTCGAGTTCACCTTCTCGGACAGCATTTTTGAGATAAGTCCTCTGACTTCTGAGCGGACTCTGCCAAAAATGGGAGAGTACCTTTGAGTAAATATCGCAACTACTTCATCTCAACTTAGATCTTCAGACTTAATGCAAAATAAACAATTATGATTTGCGTAATTGGAACTTCAAACGACAATCAAAGTATTTTTCAAGAGCTAACCAATACAGAAGTGAAAGGTTACACCTCTACAATGTAGGACGAGTTTATGCTGAATGTTGAGACTAGGCAGTATGTGATAGTGCCTACTCAAGAGAGGAGGCTATTCTTAGCGAAACCTCCCATCAATAGGTTCGGTAATAAGAATGAGGAAAAGCATTGATGAGAGAGAATAATTTCGACGTACAGGCCCCAGGAGAGCGTAATCATGCGCGTTGGTGTGGAGGTTTTGATCGACTTGGGAAACCAGGCAGCGAGTCGCTTAGGGTAGACCTTTCCTTCCAGGAGAAAACGGGCGAACCACCGCACTGACCACACAAGACACTCGTGGTCTCCGAGAGAGGCGATTGCCGGCCCAGCGGTAAGAGGGAATGGAGTGTGCAGTGCAGGAAGTTCGAAACCGTTTTCCGTACTCCCCTTAGCTGCTGAGGCTGCAACCTCCACTTCGAAGTTGGCACCAACAAAGGTGACACGCTTCGCATACACAAGCACCGCGTCGTGCTTAGTGTCGTAGAAGGGGGGCGGGCACTGTTCAACTGTTGCAATAGAAGGCTGAGTGAACGCCTTCTCATCTTCTTTGCCCACATCCGTCCCAGTTGCCAACAGTTTACAATTAGTCGTCG